TAAAGCAATTGAGAACCAAGATAGGAATACCAATTTTAAAGTTTGGAATACTATATGGAAAAGGCTTGTAACATCTCGAAATTTTAAAACTCGGATTTATAAAAATAAAATAAAATATCTATAATTAAATTAAAATTTAGAATAATTTGATAGAGGTTCAGAGTTTGAATTTTACTATGCAAAAGTTTGGTTTTATTTGTTTTTTAACTATGAAAAAAATTACCAAAGTTAGCCCGGGCTTTTATGTAATAATAAAAAATCTTAGGCCCTTTCTTGTAATTTTTTCCAAAATTTTTGACCAGCATTTTAAGAGGCAAATTGGACGCAGAAAATGTAGAAAGGAAAGAAGAACAAAACGCACGAGAGAAAGAGAGAGAGAGAGAGAGAGAGAGAGAGAGAGAGAGAGAGAGGAGAAAGGGAGGGAGTTAGGCTTGAATCTAGAAGTCTTTGTGACCGTTGCGAGCTCGGCTACACGATAGGTAAACTCCCTACTTCAATCCTCTTCTCTTTCTCTTGATTTTCTTCAATTTTTGGAAGAGGAGATTTTTGGATTTTGATCCCAAAGGCTTTATTCTTGTAAGCTTTTGTTTCTTTGGATCCTAATGAGCATGTTTTGAGTTTCCATATAGTGATCTAATGTTTTGAGTGGATAATTAGATAAAAAGAGGTGTTTTGGACACAAAATAAATCCTGAAAAATTGGGTTTTTGCTCTTCAATGGTTTAAGCTTATTGATTTAGTTATAATTTTGCTATTTGAGCCCAATAAGATTTAAATTAAGATTTGGTTTTTATTATAAGGGCTAATGGTGAAAGTTTGTGGCACTAAGTAAAGGTTTTTAATTGATTAAAAATTTTATATAAATTGAAAATTTAGCCTAGTGATGGCTAATAAATGGTTTTGGTGGTTAAGTGATACTATGTGAATGGTTGGTTAAATATATGGACCATTGGGATGGATTATGGCTCATAGATCTAAGTTGTGTGGTATGAGTTATAGTCTTCATTAATGCTATTTGACATGATAAGTGATGTGGATCACTTATATGTTGTAGGGATTGTTGGTGGAATTTGTTCGGAAGTTAAGGAACAAGCCAGGTTCTATTTTGTACAAAAGGAACCCTTTTGGTACCAAAGGGTTGAGGTAACAGGGGAAATTTTTTTTATTACTTTATTTTAGCTATTTTTGAATAAATATTACTAGCTATCATGCATTACATGTTTTAAAAGATTAAATGTGCTTTATAAGGGGTTATGGGATACTAATTTGATTATAGTGCAAATATGTTTTCTAATTGTTTAACAACAATATTTTTATGGAAACGAGATTTATTTACATGTATTTTAATTATAAGGAATAGAAGTTGTACTTAAGGAAGTGTAACTAAGTAAGGTATCTTAGATAGGCTAAGGAACCATTTAAGGGAAATTTATAAATGTTATACTACCTTAGAGTGTTGAAGTGGTCAATACTCGGGAAAGGTAAACACGAATAAAAGGTATGATCTCGGTGGGAATTCACCAATGAGAAGGTGTGTACTTTTGATATTCTATGGCACACTGCCAGTACTCAGTGTTGCCTTACGTATTATGGGCTTAGTGCACTAAAGTGGTTAGTGTATTGAGTGTTCGACACCTCTCAGTGGGGGAGGGAATCTGACATATGAAGTGTGAGGTTGAGTGCCTAAGCCAAGGTAGCCCTCACATGGAGAGTAAGTCGGGCTGGCTCTGGGAGGGAGTTAGCTTTGACTGCTCAGGATTCACGTCGAAGGGGCGTAGGCGGTTCGGTGGATTAGATCATGCCTTAGATTATGTTTTGTGCCTGTGGAGGTACAAGTAGGTATAAGGTTTACCTGTGAGTTAAAGAGTGTCAGGGGGCATTCTGTTGGTCATGAAAGGCTATACCGGCCTAGATCATGCATTCATACATTTTAAATGGCTAAATTATATACTATGTTGAATTTATTATTCGCTTATTTGATTATGGCTTGCTTTGTAATAATCAATGTAGATTTCTCTGTTACTGAGACTGTGGTTGTTTCACCCCTTTCTTTTCAATATTTTAGGTCCAGACGAAGGATCTAGTGGTGGACGGAGAAAGGAGCAAAGCTAGGGGTTTGCTTATGATTTGTAAAGAACTACAACCTCTTTTTTTGAGAAAATATATTGTAATGTATTTAGGATTAGGGTGCCAGTAGGATATGATTATGTATGTGTGTGTGAATATGTGTGGATTGTGTGCTTGTGTATGAATTTTTATCTGTTTGCAGACTTGTGGCTAGGAAACTTAGTTATGGTGTGTGGTTTTGATGGATTTACTTAGTAGACCAAGTTTCTATTACAAGCAGATATTTATTTTGATACATATGTGATTTTATAAGCAAATGCAAAGTGATTGCATTGCAAATGATGTGCTATGGGCAAACATACACCTTGGATAGAGAGAGTGGGTGCGTGGGCCCCACAAGAAGCTTTGAGCCAAGTGAAAATGTTTAGTATATGTATTTATATAAATACATGGTATTTAGATTGATTTGTAACCACCCTTGTATGATTTGTTCATTTTGGGGGTTTAGGGTTCATTTTGGGAAATGGCACCCGGGTGGTCAAATTTTGATGTATGGGGGTTTTCTATCATTTGAATGTTCTATCAGGTGTTTTTAGTCTTATTTGACATATCCAAAGTGTTCCCACAAGTTTGTGACCATTAGGATGAGATTTGGATAATTTTGAAAATGGTTTTTACCAAAAAGCTGTACTTTTGCATCCGGATGTCCAAATCTTAATCCGATCGTTGGATTTCTATAAAATTTGAGTCACAAGTAAAACCTTTTATAAGCTTCGTGTGGGATTTGGAATCATGTCGATTGGATATCAGATGGAGAAACGGCGTACTCCAGAATTTGGTCTGGAGGTGCTGTCATTGCTGTCATGACAGCTACAGTAATTATATTGTAACCTGCATAAAATTCAATCCGTCCGTTGGATCTTTTCAAAATTTGGTATGCTAATAGTATTCTTAAAAAGTGACATGTGGGCTTTGGAATCACTCCGATCGGAGGTCGGATGATGAAATGGTGCACTCCGAAAGTTAGTCCGGAAGTGCTGTCATGACAGCAAAATTGACCAAATTTTTAACATGTCCAATTTTTAATCCAACCGTTGGATATTTTTGAATTTTGGTAGACTTATAGTACCCTTTGAATGTGAGTTGTGAGCTTTAAAATTTCTTCGATCGGAGATCGGAAGACAGAACGGTGCCTCCCTGAAGTTGACTCGGGAGGGCTGTCATGACAGCAATTTAATGCTGTCATGACAGCATATTTTTACCCTTCTTTCGCCTAACTTGCTTCCGTGCTATAGGTAGAACCTATAAATTTTTTTTAAAGGCTTTAAATGTTTACTTTGCAATTGTATATTTGTTTAGTGATTTAATGGTTTGTTTCCTAAGTTGGTTTTAGGATTAATTTCCTAACTATACTTAGTTTATTTGAATTGTGTAATTTTTGGATAACACTCGGGGCAAGTGTTACAAGGCCCACCTATGAAAAGATTAAATTTTTTCTTTGTAAAGCTACTTGGAATTGCCTACACATTAACTTTGATCTTTTCACAAGAGATTGCCCTTTCGGTTGCAACTCTACTGACAACTCCATCCATATTTTGCATGAATGCACATAAGAAAGTATGGATGAAACTAGTGAAACACTCCAAGCTTAACACTTCCTTTTCTCTTTCGTTATAGGACTGGATTCTCTAAAATGCAAAAAATAATGTTGGAAATCCTAATATCAGGAGAACCCCTTGGAAGAAACTTTTTGCACATATTTGTTGGAATATTTGGAAAGAGCGTTGCAAGTTTATTTATTCTGAAGATCACATACCTAACAAAAATATCATTTTCACCTATACCCAAGGCATAATCAATGACATGCACTTTCAATCTCAATTTGAAATTATGCAGATAAACCAAGACAGATCTCTCGCTAGATAGACTCTTCCAAAACCTGACTAGGTTAGATTTGATACGGATGGTTCTGTCCTCAATAATGGAGCTACTTCTTGTGGTGGCTTCATCTGTGATGACCAAGGTAACTAGATAAAAGGGTTTATTAAAAGTCTTAGTTATCACCTAACACAACCACAGAACTCTTAGTTATCCTTGAGGGCATAAATCTTTATTGGAGGAGCAATTTCAACCAAGTTAATATTCACACTAATTCATTAGAGGCTCTAGTGCTTATCCGGTTTGAACACAATCCAAACCATCCTCTTAATGACACGATAAAAAAGATCAGATGCCTCACCATGAAGGATTGGGTTATCACCTTCAACCATGCGTTCAAAAAATCTAATAGGCAAACTGGCTTGCTTGTCATGTTACAAACAATAATATTGATATTTTAATTTTTGATGTACCACCCCTAGGGTGTCGTTTCTTTATGGGTCTTAACTTGACCTAATCCCCTCTATTTGTATGGCTTGTTGTGACCCTGTGTTAAAAAAAAAAAATTACTTTACCATGTTTTGTCAAACATAAAAGCATTTTTTGTTGGGGTAAAAAAAAATTCTATTTTTTTCTATGCTGTGAAAGCTACTGCTTGCTCAATCATGCCTTAAACACAGGCAGTTTGGCCGTTACTACAACTATGTTAAATTCACTTTCTCCTCACAATTTAATGTTCTACCTTGCAGCATTTTACAACCACCTGCGATGTGCTTGAGGTTTTATGAATTGAAGTGTGTTCTAAGCTATTCGTGTATTTATACAATTTGAAATGAGTTGCCCTATTTCAAACCCGATGAAAGTAAAATTTCTTGAGTTTTTTTATATTTTGTATTAATGTATAATTTGCATTAATAGTTCAGCACAAGATTAAAAGTTGAGCCGAGGAAAAACCAAAAAATAACGTCACCCAAAACAAAAACAAAAACAAAAAAATAAGACTTTTTTTTGTTTTGGGGTACATGAGAGGGCAAAGCCCAAATAAAAAACAGAAACTAAATAAAGAATTTCATTAGAGATCAAAAGTAACTTGTTTGTTGTTTTCAATCTAATTTACTTCTGATCAAAACTTTCGCCAGCCTCCTAGGCCCTAGTTTCACGGGAAATTTAATTCAGCCCAACCTAACTAACTTGTTCGACTTTTTATTCTCTTTGGGACTAAGGCCGAGTACAAATAGTCAAATATAACTAATTTTAAAACCCCAAATAAAAGCACCGCAAACTAACAAAATTTAACCAAGATTTGACTTTATTTGGACCAGAACACAGAAACCCGCACATCCACTGCAACAGGACACCTTGAGCGAAACAAGCAAAATTTGCAGGCGCAGGATGTGAAGGAATTATCCACGTCCTCCCCACCAGCAAGAAACTTAGCGACCCTTGAAAAAGTTCATTCAGAAAGTAAGGTATACCCCACACCACTACCTATTTCTATAGTGCCTCTTCCAAAGCCTACAAGAAAGCTTCTGTGTCAGTTCGGCCGAAACCCCTCAAGTCCCAAATTTGCAGTCAGCCAACTGCAAACCTCATCAGTCTCTTCAGGGACGGTGTAGTGACCCAGGCTGCAGACAAAATGGTTTTGAAGTTCATTAGGCTGCTTTCCTGGACAAATATTATAGGCTTTGCAGAACTTATAGTAGAATACCCATTATAGCTCCTAAATGTAAGATTCCTGAATCCAGCTGAGCTCAAGGTCTGTGCAGATTGCTCTCCCTGCCTAAATGCAACCACATCATCAGCTGCAAAAGGAAACCAACTTTCAAGATGAAACCTTTTCGGATAACATCAAGCAGGAAGAGATCATTATGGCTACAATTATCAGCTGTAATGTTAGATGATATTTTGGTACTTGTGTAGTGATGAATCAAGCTTGAGCTACAAGTTCTGATAGTGGGTATTATCATACTCCAACTTTTGCTTCTCACCGCAACATACCTTAACACTTTCATACATTGTCATGCTAAGGGCAATATACTTTTCTGTGTATTTTCTAAGGCCATAATCAAGAACTGAGATATATATAGCACTTGTTCCGCATGGAAGCTTATTAACGAGGACAATGAAACTGAAGCACTTAAGAACAATGATTCGCTCATGACAAATCATGATCATGATCTGATTTCTGGATAAATGGCCATAGATTTGAATTGACAGAAACAAGATATCTAAAAATAAGGGCATTGACATGGCACTAAAAAAATTCAATAAATGCAACATGCAACGACCAGTGGTATTCCAAAAAGGAATTCTATGCTGGTGAGAACTCAGTTTTTCTCTTCCATATTAATATTACCCAGTGATACTCCTAGAAAGAAATCCTTTACCTTCTTTTTTCAAGCACAAATATATGACACAGCAAACAGCACACGTGCAGACGCGCACATGGAAAGCATCAGGATAGGTTATCTATTTTTTTTTAGTTTTCGGGTTAAATTAGAAGGATTTAAACCCTTAATCTCTATCTATACCCCAACCTACAATTAACATCTAAGCTATATAAATAATTGAACTTTCTTCAGCATGTGGAATTTGGTGAGAAAGATGAGGCAAACATGCTTCCATGCTATTCAAGGAAAAAATTCCCAATAAATTTGAATTTGCCAACTATAATGAAGACTGATCAAATCGATGAATACCTAAGCCATGGCAGAGAAGTAAGGGCAATGCTGCTGCACGCCTTAAGGCATCATGTGATCCTTCAATTTGATTTCTGAGGCTCCTGCATAAATAGTAGTTTCTGAGTTAATTAACCTTCCCAGATAAAAGGACTGCATTGGTAGGTGTGCCTTAATGGCAGTATTTTATGTATTGGCCTGTTATATATTACAGAAACCAAACCTTGAACAAGGAAGCCAGCCACTTAAAGCAACAACTGCACTTAAGTTGACAGGATAAGCATTTCCACCTCCATACCGCCCCAAAGCATGGCATGTAGCTGAGTAAAGTGCAGTTGCAGCACCCATACTGAAGCCCCCAATACCAATTCTGACTGCACGGTCAAAGCAATAATAGCATTTAAGTCAAACTATATGGAACAGGGAATTGTAGATGACAATCTCATTTACATGATCAAATTTTCAATATTTGCTCTATGTGCTTCAAGAAAGAGTATTTTTCCCCCTTTATGATAAGTTAAAAACTCCAAGGGCAGGGTAACAGCCATCAAAAAACAAAACCTCCAATTTCAGTTACTTTATCAAGTAGAACTCTGGTTATAAGAACCTACTATGGAATATCATGAGAAAGTCTCAAGTAGGAATCTTGGGCTTTTAAACTCTCGCAGTAGCTCTCTCTTTAATTTAATGCCATATACTGAGGAGCTGAATGAGGGATAAAATGGAAAAGTATAGTTTTCTACTAATACTGAAGTGAATAATAAAACAAGATCTTATAGTGCTAATGGTGTCTTGCAATCCATGTAGCCGACCCCACCTAATAGGATAAAGGCTTGTTGTTGTCGCTATCGTTGTTGTATAGTGCTAATGGTTTATGGTTCGACTTGGTGTTGGTCAAATATAATACAAAATGTTGTGAAAGAAAACTTAAAACACCCTTAATATGTAATGATTTTCTTCAATGAGATAACCACTATTAAACTATTAGATAAGAAAATACGGAAGGCAATAGAGGCATAAAGTGGTTTACTACTTCAATGTCTTTAAACATTTTGATCCTTTGAGTGATCCTCAAATAATGACAAACCCATGGATCTTTATTACCATCATTAAAGTATATTTTATTTTCTTAAATTCTATGGAAATCTGTTCCGATACATTGGTCAGTCTACATGACCAAAAGCAATAGATCCACTGGTCAAGCACCATGTCATGAGTCTAAGGAAATTTTAAGGATGCCAAAAGCCTAGAAAATGCTTATTGGCATCAACTGTTTCCCTAAGGAGAGCTTTCTATAATGATTGCAATTAATTTAGTGTATCACATAATCTAAGGAAAAGAAATAGCATTCACCATCTTTTACAAAACATGGATATAAATAGTAGTTTCTCAAGTGATCACGGTACATGGAAAACCTACTATTTGGAGGCTCTGTTGACAGAAGATTTGCAACGTGTGCTGCAGAAGCATTTAAGCCCTCTATATCATCTGAAGCATTTTCAGAAATATCTCCTACATCAAACCCTGGGAGAGATCACCCAACCAAATTAGACTCTGGCAATTATGGACACAAGAGTGGACATTAAATTCCATATTGAATGCAGAGTACGAACCAAAGAATTAGCATATGACATTGCTATTTAGTAGCAAATTCTAAAGTGAAAGATAAGTGGGAAAAGAAAGGCAGTGTTGCCAAGTCAATAACATGGACTTTTCAGGAAGCAAAACTTACAGGCAGTGCAAGGAAATCCACCAAATATGGCTACAGGCCTTGTAGGAGCAGTTGGGCAAATCCATTTAATCTGTTATAAAAATTTCCAGAGAAAGAATGATAAATGCTAGTCAAGAAAACATCTGCTTTCCTAACACAAAAAATAACTCAAAGCAGATGCTAGATGTGCAGTAGAAATGGAAAAAAAAAAAAGTAAAACGAACACGGTTATTCTTACATTTGGAAGAGGAAGAGTTTCCAAGAGCTGGGACCAGCTGCAAAACAAAAGTTCATTCATTATTGGCTAATCTTGAATATTTCAACAAGGCAAACAAATTGGCCAAAAAAATATTAGGAATGTCCAGGAATCAAGAGTTATGTCAGGAAAGGTGAAGATAATTGTAACTATTATAAAGATTCTTTAAACAAATACCCATTAAAAGTATATCACCTCCTACCTAGTTTTGGGGCCACATGTTAACAAATGGCATATATGATATTGCATGAATATATGCACTGACCAACCTAAGTCATAAAAATTAAAACAAAGAATTAATTACTTAGGCAATAGGACAATACATGTCACTCATTGGTAAAAAGTGTGTTTACGTCTGCTGAGTTTTGGTAATAACATAGCTAGTGAAGTTGTGGTCCCATGTTCCATTATTTGGTACATAATAATCTAAGACTTAAGGTTTCCTGAACTGCAAAAGTAAATTAGTTGATAAGAATCTTCTGGAAAAGGGTATGGAGTTCCAGAACTTAAATTAAAAAATAAACTCCTCAACCAGAAGGAGACAATATGTTGACATTCATGCTCCTCCCCTTAATTTTATTTGAAGCAAACAAACCCATGATTCTCGCCTAAGGCATATTCTCAGGCAAAAGTAGAAGGCATCCACTCAAGCTAAGTTTGCCCATAAAAAAGGAATAACTTGTTGACATAATAATAGTTAAAATGCCAAGCATCACCAACTCCTTGCTGTTGAGCCATGCAGATTGATGAGGACAGAAAGTGAGCAAATCAGTGGTGGTTTGTTGCTGCATGTAAAATGAATTTACAACATTTGGTCTTTCACCCCATGTGTCAACGAGCTCAAAAGGAAGAAAACTGTTCCCTAATACACACACACACACACACTCTCTCTCTCTCTCTCTCTCTAACAAGTGGAGTAAAATCTTTAAACGATACTTGCTACTGTTTAAAAAAAAAAAAAGATATACTCATGATAGCTACATACCTTGAGCCGTTGTCACCAAGGCCATGTAGCCAAACTATAGTCGCCTGGTGATTAGCTTTAGGCCTGACCACATGGGTCCTTCCAAACTCAAAAGTCCTTCTAGCAGTTCCACTGCCTGAACATTGCACCACAAAGTTAACATACAAAAAGGCCAGAAATCCTAGATAATTTAGCTGCTAGAAACCAAGATATTTTCTTCACCAATAAATCTATATATGCAGAGCACTGAAAATGCCATGGGATATGAACTGACCCGAACCCGAAGACGAGCTGTTGTAACTCATGTTTTTGTATCAAAACAGTTATCTTCTCAGGCCACTGTCAAGGCGCTTAATATGAGTGGCTGCAATGAAGAATATGAACATTAGCAATCTCTATTTATACACAAATGGGAGGTCACAAGGAATAATGGCAATGAATCTGCATCGGCTACCCTGCTTAAACTAGCTAATCCTAGTTGAAACCTCCTTGAAATTTGACAGAAAGCGAAAGGCACTGAAAAAGGAGATAGTTACTGGAGGGACCAGAAAATTTTTCAAAAAAAAAGTTAGAGCCCTTTTATGAGCAGAATCCCCAAGAGATTAAGCGCAAAATGTAGAGAACGAACGAACGGGAGTGTTTACTTTGTAATGCACGGAGAATAGAAGAGTGAGGGTTTGAAGAATCTAAAGCTTGTGGACATTGGGTAAAGACTAAGCAAAGAACTTCAACCAGGACAAGCAGAATATTGCCCAAATTTTAAAATATATATTGCCGGTGGATTGCACATTTTGCAAGATTGATCACTCAAAAACTATCAATGGGTAAAATAAGTTGAAAATGTTCATTCGGTGGTATGAATTTGCAAGTATTCATCTTTATATACATGTCTGCATAACACAAGAGAATCTGAAATAAAGAAAAAAAAATATTTATATTGAATGGTGAGAAAAAAAAGTGGGTGGAGCTATCTTTACACCAACCTGATGGGGAAATAAACCCCAAAAAAGCATTTGGTCTTTTTTCTTTTCTTGTGAACGTCCCTTTGCTCGTTCTCACGGCCTTCGCTCCCCTCTGTGTTGTGTCAGTTCTTTCTTCACACAAGAATGAGAAACACCCCAGCAAGCACAGAGCAAAGCTTGTTGATTTCTCACGCTTTTTGTTGACCCCAGTGCGCCTTTAACAGCTTTTATTGCTTTCCTCTGTCCCAGTTATCCGATTTCATCTTTCAAGTATTATTTATTTTATTCCATTTCCAATTCTTGCTCACTCATCTCTTTAAAAATTATTGTTTGTTCACTTCGTCACACCACAGTTTGAAGAAGAAAGCAATTCCATTATGTTATATTTTTAATCAAATTATTTTACTGGTTCGTACAAGGATTCATTATTATTTACCGCTTTTATTTAAAAATATAAAATATTTTTTAAAAAGTTAGATGTTAAATAATATAAAATATTTTTAATTTTTTAAAGTGTAATTATTATTTTTTTTTAAAACTACCCCTAATAATAATAACTTTATATTTATTGTAAGATATTTAGCAGGGATAAATATAAAAAGATAGGATTAATTGAGAAGTAGGTAACTATTTTATTGGAGGTTGAAATTCAGTTAAAAATACCTTATATTTTTGAACGAAGGGAGTATTTGGATTCAAAATATAAATATTTTTATTTAATTAATTTTAATTTAAAATATAAACAACCTAATACATCTAAATTTTTTTTTATTTTGCCTCATATATTTATTAGCCTAAATCTTTATATAAATGTATCTCTTATTCTTCATGAAATAATTTTTTTTGCCAAACATCATGAAATAAATTGATAATTGAGATTAGAGGTAAAAAAATAATATACATTTTTATCAAATGAAAATTTTATTAGGACACGTATTTTGTTTAAAAATTGTTTATATTTTAAATTGGAAGGAGTAATTTATAATGGTGGGGTAAAATCCAGCTGGGACAGAATAACATTAGAAAATTATTTCACCTGAAAGAGAATTCTGTGGAAGGACAGCCTGGATAAAAAGCTTGGTATAGTTTTGTCTTCTCTGCAATATAAAAACAGCTCAGAGTTTCAGCCTCGAAAGCAAAGTAGTGTTCACACTTCATGCCTCCCAATTCCATCTTCGTATCAAAGCCTTTTTTCGGTCATCTTTTCCAAAATGTCGTCCTCCTTTGCTTCCTTACAACTTACCTATATTATGTTTTTGGGTTTTTATCTTTGCAACTTTGCGCTGATTCTAAACAGTCTGTACTGATATATTCTTCAGCATCAACCACAATTTAATGAACAGTGCAATCAGAGAATCCCAGTTGGTAGCATAGGAAAGAAACCCTTTTCTATTCCCATGACTCGAAGCCTACAGATTACAGAACCACAAAAAACAGAAAAGAAGAAGATATTCGTGCCTTATGAATCATATTGATGACAGCAGGTTATCATTTTGACATGCGCGCACGGTAGAGAATGTTGAGAAAGAGAGTAAGGCTGGTGTTCATATACTGTAATGTGGACGTAGTCTAAAAGCGGACATTATTTAAAGCAAATGAAATGGTGTGCGTCTGGCATCTTTCAAGAATTGAGATCTTTTAGTAGTGTGAAATACTCAATCCCACGCCTCTCAACTAGATATATATTCTGTGGTTAATTAAATTAAGATCGCTTTCCCATGGCACAAAGTGATTATGGGAATGTCAAGTTATAGCTTTTGCGGGTGGAATATTTGACTTTTGGGAAAAACATGGTAAATTGGAATGGCAAAAGAAGCCCTGCCCACGAGCTATATTGTAGGCTGGCACTTGGAAATAGGTGCAGTTAACTGCCTTTTTCTGTGCTTGAGAAAACGATCATTTCTTTTTCTTATATATGTGTATATATAATCCCTCCAATTTGACAATAGTATATGGATACAAATAATTACAGATACACACTTGAAACCAAGGTTCTCGTGTCTGTGTGAAAGAAATCAATGTATTAATTCAAGGGTTAATAATTAAAACGGTAGTTAAATTATAATCAAATCAATCATAAATAAAATATTTTATTAAATTGATCAAAACACTAGTTTAATAATCTATTGATCTAACCAACAAGTTGACTTGAATTTCTATATTATGGTTAAAACATGAGAGGTTGGCTATATTATATCATTGTGAGACGTGCGTCAATAACTCAATACATAACCCCACCTACGCCGAACGTCCTGTATGGGGGCGAATTGAAAATCTTCCAAGACGTACTGCTTTGAAACGTATGGCTATGATGGCACAATCATGCTTTGCAGTGTCCCACTATTATGTGCTGTACAATGTGATGCAGGCGATGAAATTATTCATCTTAACGTGAGTTATTTTATACTACCTTGTTGCTTTTTTTCCCACTCAAAGATTGATGTGATGGTGTCCTCCTACCGCATGCATAGCTGCATTGTTGACAATAGGATTAAACAAGAAGGAAATCCAAGTGTTAAGTGATCAGGTTAATTAGTGTTGTGTGAGGCTCATGCCTCGTGTGTGACTTGTTTGGTTACAATGGATGAGGAATATCAAAGATTGGTAACCAATCCCAATAAGGCTCTGCTCAGGACAAGTGGCAAAGTTGATCCGACCAATTGGTGACATTGGAAACGTTTGCAAGAAAAGCAAAAGGAGGAGGGCATGGGCGCTGAGGGAGGACCATGTCTACGTTGTACAATACAAGCACCGTTTCCTCTAAATCCTGCCCTCCCTACGGTACTAAAAGACACTGTCCCAAGATATGGACCCTCCTTATTAATTTTTCATTTTATTGTTGGCACCAGATGACCACATCAGAGAATTGAAACTTGAGATTGAGAGTCGTCCTCAGGAACATTGTTTCAGTGGCACACGTGACTCACTTCCAAGAGGCACCCTATGACATGACTCCCTTGTCATCTATTCACATGTTTTTGCAGAATTAGCCACCTATGTACGCTTTGATTACTTCTCTTTTATTAGTTTTCTTTTCTTTTCTTTTTACTTTTATTATTGTTCCAGCACTGTATCACTGACTCACAATCGTTGGAGTGTTTTTAGCCTAGAGTTCTATGCATGCTAAAGTGCTTGGATATGAGCCCAGGTCGTTATTTTTTACACACCACAACGTCCAGTTTAGATTCATACATGCATTAGTTGATAGAAGCAAATATTAAAACTACTAATAAAAGAGACAAGTTGACAACACAAATAAATAAGCAAACAATTAACCACCTAGGATTCGTTGAAGTGGTATGAGAATGGGACGACGTAGCCCTATTTCAGATACATGCTCCGATGTTGTCCTTGTGACCAATTTGTGTAGCATACCTCAATTAGGTGACCTAAACTCTCAACATCTCCTTTCGTCCACATTACACAATATGCTAGATGTTAATCCATTAACCCAAAATAAAACAATAAACTTTGATAATTTAACGTAAAAGAAAATCGAAGTCCAAGGCAAGGGCTTTAAATGTATAAAGCGTTCCCTTTTATTGTGAAAGCTAAATTGACCTTGGCCATCTTTCTCATGAGCAAATCGGCTTTTTCTCGAACTCCAACTGAACCCCTCACGGAGAGATCAGCCAGCACAGCAAAGAACTCGGAGAGCATGAGAGCCTCCTTGACATAGTCTTCACTATCATCGAAAAGTCGAATAAGGATATCGATTGCACCTTCCTTGCTAAGCAAGGACCTTCCTTTCAACACACTCAACATCCCCATGACTATTTGACCAGTGCTTTTCAAAGCACTGAGCCCTTCATCAAACCTAGTGAGGAGGCTTAAAACAGCAAGGGCAGTTCCAGCTAAGTCCTCACTACTAGTGCTTTGAACCGCCTGAAGCAATATAGGGATTGCCCCTGCTCGCACAGCCAAAGTGCAATTCCCATGAAAGTGAACAAGCTCAGCCAGACAACTTAAAAGATGATGGGCATCAGAGTCTAGAGAGCTTGACACAGCCTTAACCAACAACTGAACTGTGCCGGCGACTCCGAATTTGGCCTTGTTCTTGTCAAGCATTGCTAGACTGCAAATCAAGGAGGAGGTCAATTTGGAGGAGTCCGGGGAAGTCGGGCAGCCGATGCGAGAATTGAGGTGGTAAATGGTTTCCATATCGGCAAGGGATTGCTTCAGGTCAAAGTTCAAGGAAAGGTTGAAGAGGATTAATAAGGAGAGTGTTTGAATGATGGAGGAGGAAGCGTTTGTTAGAGAAGCCAACAAAGGGATAGCTCCATCGATTTGAGCAAGCAAGGTTCTGTTTTGAGGACTGACCCTGGTGATGGAAGCCAGCGTTTGAAGGGCTTTTTTCCGTGGCTTCAGGAGACTCTGCTCTGGCCAGGGACACACATTCTTTGATGATTTCCATAATACGAACTATAGACATCTCTATACGTTATGCACCCTAATGGTTTCAAGAGACTTTGTCCCAACTTTTTAGAAGTCAGGCAACCCAATTATGGATACAGGGACGCAGGCTCCAGGAGATAGCTTCAATGTTAGGGACAAGGCATTGGTATGAACTCCGCTCGATAGTTCCAAGTAATCTTTTCCTTCGTATTTGTCTCTTCTTGGCCGGGGGCGGGGAGCAATAGCGCGGCTCGGCACAAGACTAGAGGAAATTTATTGAGGGCAACATTGAATAATGTCAAAAGTAGTTTATTATCCACCAAACTCGTCGTTTATTAAGCACATCGGAAGAAATCTCTGTACTTCTTTCCTCCTCTTTTTTTTTTTTTTGGGGTCTTTGAACCACCTGCTCAGAGACTATTGCCAGCTTCCAATGACTTTAGAGGATATGGCATAGAGGCTTACTACGTACTTCGAAGATTTTTAATTGAGCCACTAGCTACTATTTGCGCGTAAATTCCGTTATTAAACGAATATTTAAGAAGCGCTTGCAACGAATCTTCAATGCATGCATCGGCCGCTAAATGTAAGTCGTAATTTGAAATCACCAACCCACCTAAGCCATTGTACATTAACTTCGTAATTAGAAATAATAAGATATATACTTCAAAATTAACTGCTACCAGATTCCAGATCAAAGAAATAGATGCATATTTTCTGGTTGGAAAATGTTAACCAGAACTAGTAAAAATCTAGCCAAAATTTGAAAATCCAGTTCAAGCATGTAATCACTACAACATAATATAACCTAGGTTCCCAAACTAGCTGCCTCAAGCAAAGACCTCTTACTCAAACCGCACCCTAAAGGGAGGAGTACCTGAACTTATTCTAGTAGATATCGTTCAAACTACGCATATAAATCAAGCCAATCAGGTGCAGATTATAAATTTAACCCTCCATCAAGGACCCTGAGGCCCACATGATCACCTTTCGTCTGAATATGGAGAACCATCGCCATATGAGACCAAGCCTTTCTTTCCGTCTGGGCTTTGGGAGGATGACCTTGATCTGTCTTTACTTGGCCTCTGAGGAGACTGTGATTCAACAGAAGACCTCGATTGTGATGCGCTGTGGCTTCGACTTCGAGAAGATGACCTGCGCTTCTCTATGCGAGGAGAAGCACGAGATCGATATGGCTCAACAGGGGAATGACTCCGAACTGGGCTTCGGCTTATGCTTCTGCTATAGCGACGACCACGATAGCGAGGGCTGCGAGATACTGAGGGAGTCCTACTTCTTCTGCTTCGGTACCTACACATAGAAGTTCATTTAATCATGTATTATTCAACGAAAAAAGATTGCTAGCATAGCTAATAACAATGGAGAAGCATAGGCACTAAAAATTCTCTGAAGTAAACCGACTCTGGAAACAATACGAAATGATCGCCTAGGAATTTTAGAAAGAAATATCCCAACAAATTCAATAAACATCATAGGGAAGGAATAAAAACCTGGGTGGAGTTCTTCCTCGAGGTGGGGGGCTTCTGTGACGCCTAGGGGAATACCTTCTGTGACTAGAATATCTGAGGACAGCATGTTGTGAGATTATTTTTTCAGCCAATATTGTGAGATAAGATCGTTTAGTCACATTCAACTCTCAACGCCACCTTACTATAATAACTAGCAAAAGAGTACTCAGTTTTACCTGTCCCGGTCGCTTCTTCCATTGTAACGATAAGACCTCACAGGAGATCGAGAAGGAGTTCGATATCTTCTTGCATAAGAGTACCTCTCACTAAAACCTCTTCCCCTTCTGATACGCTTTGGGGATACATCAGGAGAGATGCTCCTAGATAACCCCCGAGATGACCTTGGCCTTCGAACAGGACTGGGGCTCCTAGAATAGCTGCGACGATTCCCTCTGCTAGGAGCCCTCACAGGACTTCGGCTGACACCTCTCCTTGAGGGGACCCTGCCTGAGCTTCTGCTCAAGCTCCTTGCAGAAGATCTAACAGGACTCCTGCTTATACTCCTCCTTGAAACCCTTACAGGGCTTCTACTGACAGATCTTCGTAATGATATTCTAGGTGAACTCCTGCTTCGGCGGCTATGAGATGGGGATCTGACAGGACTCTCACTGACACTTCTACGTGAGCGAGTTCTCACAGGGCTCCTACTGACACTTCTACCTTTCCTACCCCTCACTGGGCTTCTGCTGATGCTTCTGCTTGGGCTTCTACTGTTGCTCCTGGCAGGGCTTCTGCTGAAACTCCTCCTGGATGGAGCTCGAGGGCTTCTACTACCACTAGGACTTCTGCTAATCTTCCTTTCTGGACTAGCACTTGGGCTCTTGCTCTCACTTCTCCTGGGACTAATACTCATACTCTTGCTCATAGCCCTCTTGGGACTCATGCTTCGATTCCTGCTCATTAACTTTCAATATAATACCAGATCTGGAAGAAATGATAAGCATAAAGAATAACTGAGGAGTGACAAGGGTGGAAAGTAGACCTAGATTTGCCTGGATTATCATCCATCACATCAGGCTGCCTCTCGTCACTTCTGTCAGATCTAGAGTCAGCTCCAATACCATTGCTATGTCGTTCTCCATTTTCTTTAAGGGATGCTTCCTCATTCTCTGGCACATCCACTTCGTCCCTCCTTTTATGATGCATGGGATGTACTTCTCTATCCCCAGCTAAAGGAGATTGAACTTCAGCTGCGAGATAGTAAATCAAAAAATTGAGGTAACTGTTAAAACAAATTCGCCAAAAGAATACAGATCAAAAGGGAATAGAGTAATGGAATACAATAGAATGAAATGGCCCCCTCACACATGCTTCCAGTTCTTTAGAGCTTCATTTAAAAGAGTGACTTTTTAACCAAAAAAACAAAACATGGACCAGATAAACAATTTACTCCGTTTAAAATCAATTAATGGTTAGTAGATTGAAAGTAAAAATAACATTACCAGAGAATGTAAAGTTAACGAGGAACGCAATACTGCATCAAGTAACAAAGAGCTTAATATAAGAACAAGCTCATATTTCAGGATTTTGCTTCGCTAACATGCAAACAAAGGTCAAATATGAAATGATTTATTGCGAATGTGAAATCTTTGGCAGAATGTACTCAACATAAATAATACCATTTTTCACAGAATAATCTCGTCGCTTTTGCTCCTTCCCTTGAACATCAAGACTTTCACCATCAGAGCTGCTGTCACTTTTGCTTTCACTATCTGAATCAGAAATACTGTCCGAATCCCTAAAAGAGCACAAATTTAGAACTTGAGAGGCATGAGAAATAACTTTGAAAGAGTATAACTTATCATCATATGGCAACACTGATAAGATCAATAAGTGCAGCAGACGAACAAATGGGTAAAGCCATGTTCATCTGGTTGAACAGCAAGCATGAGATGTGAGTAACCATTTCACAATAAAGACACAGCATAGACAAAAAGAACCCAGACTTGTGAGGGCACACTATCTAAGCAGGTATTATTTGTTCATCACAGCAAATGAGCAAACAACCATGACAAAGATGTCCAGAATCTGAGATCCATGTGTTTGTAACCAAAGGTTCGTCAATCTTAAGTTGTCAATACCTTCTAGATCTGCGCTTTGATTTTTTATCTCGTCTCCTTCTCCTCTTGTCACGACGCCTATCCCTCCTTTTTCGGCGTCTATGTTTGTCTTTCCTAGAAGATCTTTTTCTCTTTTTCCGCCTGTCATCACTGGAAGAACTTATGTAAGATGATGATGACAGATCCGAGTCGGAATCACTATCAGAGTCTGATGATTCCATGTCTGAATCCGAAGAACTCTCTGATTCAGATGAGTAGTATCTTTTTCTCCTTCTCCTTCTGTCTCTTGAAGATTTTTTGTGCTTTCCCTTCCGCCGTGCTTCATGATTATTGGTTTCAGAAGTCAATTTATTCATCTTCTTTCCATCTACAAACATAAAAACATGGAATCAATGGAACAAATACATCTACTGACATGCCCAGCCAAGCCAGAACCTTAGACTTAAAGGGAGGGACAAAGGGAGGGACACAGATCGTGTCACACTTTGGCATCTGATGTTGACTGTTGAGGATATAGCAAGCACATCTCTTGGATGATTTAATGCTTAATTATTTGAATAAAAAGAAAACGGCAAACATCAGTCTCACCTTCATTATATTCACCACAATTAATGATTTTAACAGTTACAGTTGGATGCCCTTCTTCATCACCCACATCTTCAATTTTCTTCAATATATTAAGTCCTTGAACAAGTTTCCCAAAGACCAAATGCTTCCTGCACAAGATTCCGCACAGCTGAAAAGGATCAACAAATCATACAAAGAGAACCAAGAGTTAAAAAATATAAGCAAACCTGTCAAGATGGTGATCAGCTTTCAATGTGACTATAAAATGAGAACCAAGAGTGTCACGATTAGCAATTGCCATTGACAGGAGACCTGGTGCATCATGCTTAAGCCTAGGTGACTCATCTGAAATAAATCGTAGGTAAAAAGCATAAAGACTTTTTTCATCAACATAAGTTAAAAAAGGACTTCACACATTTTGAGCTATATCTTTAGGAATACAAACTATTCTGACTTATTGCATCCTATACAACAAGAGTAAACAGTGTAACTCCATGATCCAGCATTTTCACCTGGGAAATTTGAGCCATATATGCTTTCTCCACCGGTACCTGCAATAAGAAAGAAAATGTGATGCAGAAATGCTACAGTAAAGATGACACCTAGGGATGAGAGAAATGATTGCCAGATTTGAAAATTGGACATATATAGAAAATCGAGGATTAAACTAGATGAAACTTGCCATTAACGTTGTGATTAAGAAGAACCACTTGGTTCACAGTACTTACTAAATATAATACAATACAGAACTGAATCTTCAAAGGAAAATTAAAATACAAATACAACAGTAGTTGACCTGAATTGAAGATTTAGTAAGCCTGCAATGATTCACATACATACCAACAGTAACAGCCAGTTCAACTGATGATTTCCCGACAGATACACTATTTAACCACTCAAATATATTTTAAGCGATAACGTTTTCTATTTAAGGGGAAAAAATTGATCAAATTAGAATCATCAATAGATTAAGGCTAAAGCCGATCCTATTGTTCACCCACTCATATCAAATGAAGACAAGAGGACGCAAAATCTACTTGGAATCAACATATTAATATAATATATATATATATATATATTTATATAATATAAAATCTACAACAAGCCACACTGTTCACATGACACAAGCCATGAAGTATAGCTCATTCCTCAAACTCTACATAGTGCATGGGAAATCATGTCTAGTTCTAATTATTTCTTCTCGTGATGACTCAAGATAATATGACAAGAAAAAATGATAACAGCCACCTATAACAATTGGCAAAAATAAAACAGGGGTTCAGAAAATAGCAATACCCAGAAACCATAAAAAAGTTAAAAAAGAATTGCTGTCAGACCCTAATAAATAAAGGCCAACTGTGTACTTGCATAGGAACTTAGTTGATTATGTTCCTACTCAATTTAGAAAAAAAGAAATTACCATTGCCACAGGAAACATGCAAATGGAACAAGGCTTGCAACTCGGACAACTGAATAACCAAATGATAAAAACATAAAAGAAAGTGACTAAATATATTGTATCAAATTACAAGCTTCAAAAATTAGAGAAGTTTGTCATCCCAAAGCCAATGCAATGATAGAATACATACCGTTTCGATTGACAAAATCACCTCCCTGCAAAAGGAAAACCAGCTATCAATACATGCTCAAAATAGCACATTGGATGCTAAGCAGGTTTGGACATCGCAAATCTTATTAGCTTTATAAGATGGACAACTTAGTAAGTACAACCTTAAAACTACATCACAAGAAAAGCAGTCGTGACCATCAGCCCTGTATCCTACAGCATAAACAAGGGTAATTGACTAAAGGAGGGACATCCACTACTAAGCCATGTTCAACCACAACATGATAGGTAGATCTACAATACTGAAGAACAATCTCCGATGTAGCAGGAAAAGGAGAAAAATAGCATACCTCCACAATGGAACCTTTTACAATGCGATGAAAGAAGGAGCCCTTGTAGTGCAGTGGCTTTCCCGTACTTGTACTGACTCCCTTTTCTCCTGAACAAAGAAAATATTAAATAAGAAAAGCGTCAAAGGGCATGTTCAATTTGTCAGACAGCAATTGTACAATGGAGGAGTTTACATTGGGGGAAAACAGATCAAATGATCACCTGTACATAGTGCACGGAAATTTTCTGCAGTCTTGGGAGCAATGTCATGGAATAGCTGAGAGGGCAAAAGAATTCATTAAGTTACATATCCACTCTCTCTCCGAGTCAAAGAAGTTGCAAAATTAAAAGAAGAAGACGAAGAAGACAGTCACTGTAATTCAAGCCGTATTAAAAAGAAAAAATGTACCTCAAAAACCATTCTTTCAACGGGGTCCCCATCTATAGAGACGTCCATAAAAACTAGGGGATTCTTCTTCTTTGCCATTGTCTTTTGCTTACAAATGAAAACTCAGGCCAACGTAACCACTAAAGTCAGTAAAGAAACGCTAATTAACTATTGGTATTAAGTAATATTTCATCAGAAGCAGGCATTGGTAGCGACACATATCATAATAAAGGAGCAGAACTTCCAAGTTCGACAATCAAAAATTTCCTAATAAGTAGTGCGCTCAATATTTTTATCATGTTAAAATCAACTCACAATTCAGTTATGCAAAACCATGCAGAAGAATATGCATCTGAGCTACAAATAATTCATAACAGTGAATGCTTCCAAACCAATCCCTTCTCAACCGTTGACAACGATGATGACATCGAAAAAGAATAACACTAGAGTTCACTTGAAATTAAATTTGAAGGGTCGAGAAATCAGGCCATCAGATCACCAGCGAATCACCAAATTCCACACCGAGCCAAACGCCAAGGAAAGCGCTTCTATAAATCACCTTTAACGGAATTAACAACACGAAATGTGTATCCATCAAATTAAGCTGCAAAACTTAAACCCTACATCAACACATTCGGGAAAAAGCCCAAACATGTTGCCTGATTAATCCGCCGAGATTGATATGAAACACTTCAGCATACACTCATCGATAGATGTAGACAATATTATCTAAAATCTGATATCACTTATGGAATAATAAAACTGAGGCGCGCCTAGATGGGTGAAAAGATAGATCAGTGTTAACTCTGAGTAGGTGAGAATTGCTAGACTTTTCCAAAATCCAACAGAACTAAGAGGAAAGCCGAAAGAAGCCGACCGTTCACCTGAGAAACGCAGAGCCACGAATCGCATTGAGTAGATGAGAAGCACGAAGAAGTGCGCCGGAAACCTAGGTTTGCATATAAAGGAGTCTAGCTGCTTCCCCAGGAACTTGAAGTTACCGGATTGTCCCTGGGCATGATGAAAGGGTGCAAATAGGTCCCAGGGGCAAGCCCCTTTGGGTCGAATCTTCGCTCAGTGTGGCCGCACCTAGGCCTGTTTGAAGTAATTTTTTTTATTATCAATTATATTATGACATGATAATGTTTGAAAATTATTTTATAAAATTAATTTTGATAAAATTAAAAATGTTTGAATAATTTTAATTAAAAAAAAGTTAAGTATGTAAATTATCATAAAGAATATTATCTTTTAAGTTTTAAAATGTAAATATTAATAAAGTTATACTCCTTTCATTAAAAAATATAAGGTATATTTTAAGGAGTTGGATGTTAAAAAATATAAGACATTTTTAATATTTCAAAATATAATCATTGTATTTTTTTAAAAATACCTCTAATGAATAAATCACTTTATGTTTATTTTAAAGTTAAACATCCTATTAATAGGAGTAAATATGAAAAGATAATGTTAATTTGAAAACAAGTAACTACTTTATAGGAAGATAAAATTTAGTTAAAAATAATTTACACTTTTTAACAAAGAAAATATATAATATTATTAAATTTTTTGAACACTATTCAACAAATAAAATATGTACAATAGTGTTATACAAAAAAATATGTATAATAATGATTCATTTAATATTTATATAATTATTTAATATATGATTATATGCTGATTGATTAGAAATTTAAATTATGCTATATTGTAACATTAATAATTTAATTTGTGTAAAAAATAAATATATTTGGCAAGAGGAGGAGACAGGAGCAATGGAGTATAAGCACACAAGAAGAGGGACACATAAGTAGGGTATATTTGGCAGGTTAACATTCTAACACTAAAGAAATGTTGGTAGCAGTAAAAAATGGGATTGATAAACAACTCCTACCTACTTCAACTGAAATGTGGTTACAGCTTAAATAATTGATTAAGAACAACGAATGAGATTGTTTGGATATTTTTTATCCAAATCATGATTTTAGTCAAAATAATCAATTCTATGAGAAATCCAAGTAGACATAGAAGTATTTGGGTATTTTACTAAAACCATAGTTTTGATTCAAGTAATTGATTTTAAGGTCATACCCGAGCAGGCACCTAATTTTCTCGAGCCTTGTTTTGGTTTGACTTGATTTTGGTGCCAAATATAAAGTAGTAAACTATAGTCATTCTGATTAAAAAAAACTATAATTAAGCCATTCAAGTTGCTTAATTTGGATCCAAATTAACTTGCAGCTTGAAAGCAGGTTTCCTTTGCAGCATGTTTTTGTATAACCTTCTCATCTTCCCCTATCTACAGCAACTTGACTTTCATAATTTAGAATTAAGCTTAATAGAATTTAAAATTAAATTTCACATCATGTATTAAAAATTTGATTTTATATTAATTTATAACTGGATTTTCAAGATTTTTAACCATTTTCAAAAAAAATTTGTTTACCTCCTCCTCTTGATTTTTTTTATTAAATCAAAAATCCAAAGTCCCAACCCTAACTTACTCACAAGCCTCAGTTTTAATTTATTTATCTTTTCCATGCAAGAGGGGCAGTTAAAGTTGCCTATCTAAAGCCATTGCATTCCATAATAGGTTTCTCCTGCCCAATGACTTGTCTAATCTTACTGGGAGGATGGTGAAATACGTAAAAACCTAGTGTCATAGCAAGACCTTTCTTTGCTAGCATATTGACAGCCTAGTTCCTCTTGCCCGACATGTTGAAGTGTAATTTCCCAATCTCATTCCAAGAGCTACTTGATTTCAATTATGAGAGCTGCATCCATATATTCTGTTGAACCTTGGTTTAATGGCTTGTAAAGGAATTGGTTATCTTTGCTTTGAAATCTTGACTTTTGAGTCTTATTTCCATATGGATATCCTTATTTCCAAATAAATATCCAACTGATATTTAATAGTTTTTCCTTTTTTGGAACAGAATGTCTTAAACTTGAGGAATTTAAGTAGGATATATTATCTTTGTAAAGGAGAATGATTCAAACTTTAATATAAACATGGGATTGTATTGAGGCTATCAAGAGCCCAAATTAATCTTGGCAGAGTTAGTAGAGAAAATTTAAAGTTATGCTTGAGGATCAGACGAAGGCTCAAGTGGTTGAAGCTGAACAAGGATAAATATTTATGCATGATTTTCTTCCTTTTTCTTCATTGTGTTTGGTGACATCATTCAAAACTCATCTCCTTAATTTTGTTATTATTAGCTAAATTTTTATAAAGCCCAATTCACCCCTTATTAGGCAGACTTCATGTTTAGGGTTAAGTTTTACTTACATATGCTCTGTGGCTTTAGTGGAGTCTGTTTCTAGAATTAGGTTGTTATGTAGTCAAAACTAAAGCTCCATTATGAGGCAGTCAAAACCATCTATATGACTAATGAATCCACTTAAGAATCGACCACCAGTATCACGTATGAGTTTGTCACATGTTGCCACCCTACTAGCTGTTAAAAATGCCCCATTGACATTTAACTTCAAATGTCCTTTGATAGGTAGTAACCACCTTTCATGAGATTCAACCAGCACACTTACTATGGTGTGTAACATCCCAAAATTATCCTATTGATTAATTAAGCCACGAGGATAATTATGTAAATTTAAGTATAATTATATTTAAAGATAGTTTGAGACGAGTAATATGCCTCTTGGGTTTAGTTTTAGTCAATGAATTAGGTTCAAAAGTTAATTGGGTCACTTGAACTCAAATCATAAAGAGAAATTTAGAATTTGGCTCACTGTGCATTACATTGTAGCATAATGAATTTATGCCATAGCGTAATTTCCAGAATTAATTTTTTAAAAAAATGCAAAAAATGTTTAAACAAAGGGAGGAACACCAGAAAACAAAGAGGGCGTGACATGAAGAGTATTTTCTCTGTTATGGCATCAACTTTTAGGCATTTTAGAGGTAATTGGAGGTTGATTTCACCTAGGTATGCCTTCTTTATCTCTTCTTCTCTCTACATATTTTGGAAGTGAGATTTGAGGTTAGAAGATGAGGATTTTAAGACCTAAGGCTATGGGTATGAAAACATTAGTTTAAATGAGATTACTGTGAGTTATTTGAGTTATCTAAACTTAAATATAATAGTTTTATGCGTTTATGAGAGTGGCCTCTCAATTATGGATGAATTTGTGTATTAAAGTATCATTAGTGATAAAAGTTAGGATTGTTAGAAGCCATTATCGGTGGTAGATATGTTTAATAAAGTTAGTTTAAGCGAATGTGAGTTAATAAACATAATGTGGTTAGTAAACTCAAGAATTAAGAGTTTTGGGTAATTAAAGTATTGAAATTTGAAAGTTAAAAGTGAGTAATGTGTAATAATGGTGATGGTTTTGGGTTATTGGATGATACATTAGTGATTATTTAAGTTCTTGAGACTAAATGAAGTTAATGGGAGTAAATAAACTCATTAGATGTCAAGTTGATCTTGTAGATGATAAATGTGATTATTAAAATATAAAATTAGATGTTGAAAGTGGTGATTTTGGTTATTATCAGTGATGGATGTTAATATTAATTGTAGATTAATCTCGTGAAGCATTAGTGAGCTTGAATTTAGCTTGAAAAGCAAGTTGTGACTGAGGGTAACATTTGACCTCTCAAAGGTTTGAGGTAATTAGGAAAAATTTGACTAGTACATTTACTTGATTAACTGATTATATGCATGTGAAGAATTATTTAAAAACCATAATATATTTTGCAAATTTATATTTGATGCAAGTTGTGACAATATGAATAAGTTTATGTAATATGCTAAAATTAATGTTAATGGAAATTATGAACATAGATGTTATGTATGATTAAAAGTGTATACGGGTGACCATGGAAGAGGAAAATTGTGAATTTGAGATACATGTTGATCATGATTATGTTATGATATTGACAAGCATGATGTGATGATTGATATCTAAAATTTGCATACTACCTGTTAAACATTTATGAATGGCCCGATCAAATAAGGCAAGAGTTCGCCTATAGAGATAAGAGTAGATGTTGTAAACCTATATGGCATTGGTAGCTTACAGTTGGAATTGAAAGCTAACTAGACTACCAACCATTACAATTGAGAGGTAGTCATTATTTCATTGTCGTATAAGGATTGTCCTACTTATTCTTCGAAGGACTATCCTACTTGTTCTTCGAGAGACTTAAACTACCTAGTCTCAATTATGTCAAGCAAATAAATGCATGACACCCTATAGTCATTAGTATTAGGGAAAACCGTGTCAAACAAGTAAGAGTGGTAGCCTTGGTCAAGCAGCTTCTCACAAGTAGAAGGATTGGAAAGTTTGAGTTCATAGACACAACCAATTAAATAGCCACCGGTTTCATGTTGAAGGTATCAAGAAGGTATAAGGTTGGCATTAATCATGCATATCATATCCCATCCATATGGTTGTTATTATTATGGCCTAGCATAATTTGACAGGAGCACATAATTGTTAGCATTGTGACCTCATATGTGTTTTAATATTATTATATGATCAAATGGTTGTTATTTTTGTGGTCTTGCATGTCTTACGAAGGGCACATAGTTGTTGTTGTTGTGACCCTTACATGTTAAGTAATCTAATGTCACATGATTATTAGTTTTGTAACTATATGAATTAAATGGTTTAATATGTGAATATATTTCATTTGAATATGCCATTTGCATCAATATAATTAATTAACATATATTTATATAGACTAAGTTAATCTTGATTACTAAATGGTTGTACTCAACCCTGCATTTGATATTTCACAGGCACTAGTTTCAAGCGAGACAAAGAGAGAGTACCAAAGGCTTAGAAACTCAGTTTCTTATTTGTAATTAATTGATATTATCAGCTAGAATGTTTATATTTTGTTATTACTTATGCTATTAAATATTAAAATGTATATTTTAGGCTTTCGTGTATTTGGTATCTTTTTAGTTGAGGTATTTGAGTAAAGTTAAAATACTAATGCAAATATAAATTTGACTGTATACATGTTTATCCTAAATTAT